TTAATGAGAGGCCAACACCTTAACCTCTAGGCCACGAGAGCCCCCTCATCACATTTTGGGGGAAATCCAAAGAAACTGGGTGGTAGACATCGCTGATCGGCGAGATGAGGTGGAAAAGTGTTTTGAGTACAAGGAAATGTCCTGAAAAATGCTGTTTTGAGAAAACCGAAGGTAAAGTTTTTAAACCCTTGTTCGGTTTCTTTAAAGTACGAGGAGAGTTTTCTCTATAACCAAACAAAATATACACACCAATGAAACCAAACTTCTCCTCTATAGGTAGGGCAATGTCCACTTTTGGTGAAGGTCATGATTTCTGGAAACACACAAAATCTGGGTTGGCTCACTTGTCCCCAAAAGCCACCAATTGTGAGGTGTGGGGACATAATGAGTTACTTTTGAGATTATAGCCCGATGGAAATATAGATTTATATGTCAAATTTATAGGTCGAGTTTGTACAGTTTATAAGTATGAAATGATGAAAGATTTGTTAAATTTGAAGAGAAAGGCAACAATTGACAATCGACAAATTTGACCCCCAGTGTCGATTATAATCGGCAAATATCTCCATCCGTGGATTGTTAAAAATAAAACTTATTTTGTCAACACCTCTCACAGTAATTAGAAGATTTATTTCTGAGTATCAGACGTTTGATAAGTGTATTTGTCGTGTTTATCAAAGTGGAACTTCGATCAAATGTAGGGCGTGTTTGTGAAAAGGTACAAGAAACTTTGCTTGTTTTATTTCATTTTTTATTTGTTTCTTTTTTAAAAATCTGGTTATGTTTAGTACAGAGTTGAGATGTTTCTGAACTGTTCGGTGTGTGTTGAGATCTGAACAGAGGGAAGTAGGACTTTGCCAGTCTGCCTCCTCTAAGATAAGATAAGATAAGATGTTACTTTATTATCCCAGAGGGAAATTTTCCTTGGCTGTACAGGACCGTAAAAACACATGCAGGTATACATAAAAAAATTTAAATTATATGTATTACTCTCATTAAAATTCAACATGAAAGGAGACTATCTCTATGTCTACTGCAGAGGCAGAAAGCTGTCTCATGCCTACTGCTTTAAGATCATTTTGTCAAGACGCAAAAAGCCATCCGTGTTTGTCTAGCCCTACCGATGTAATGTCAGTAGATACAAAAAGCTATCTGTGTATATCTAGGTCAACTGACGCTATATCGGTAGAATAAAGGTCCATCGGTGTATGTGAAGGTCAACCCATGTAGTATTGTGAGACGCAAAAGGCCGTTGGTGTATGTCTAGTTCTACCATCTCTGTGTCGGCACGAGCAGTCGGTGTATTTCCAGTCCTACCGATGCTGTGTCGCTTTGGACAGTCGGTGTATGTCTAGGTTTACCAGGGCTGTGAGTGGTTGGCGGGTGCTCTGGTGTGGTTTGCTCCTTCTTTCCAACCAAACATCTATCGTCCTTATCTCCCTTCCTTCTCTTTCGTATTTGTTACTCTCTTGTAACACCTCTATTCATTGGCACCTATATGAACTTATTGTGTTGCAAGTGCCGTAAAACTCTTACTAGAACAAAAACTAAAACTACCATCAGTATGTCAGTATGAGCAGTTTAAATCATATGCTGTTGCAAATGCCGTAAAACCTCTACCAAACAGGGATGCCAAATGTCCGGTTTTTCAGGGGGGGTTTTCTCTTCTTTTTTTTCATCCGTTGGAATTGCCAAGGAAAGGGGAGAGGTAAGAGAGATGTTTTTGTTTGCTCATTGAAAAACTTGACAAGGTTCGGCTTCGGTGAGATGTGATGCTCCACTCATTTTCAGGGGTTATTTTTTAGAAAATCATTTGGCATCCCTGACTAAGACTAAACAAAAAATCTGGTGTGGTCTGCTTCTTCTTTCCTACCAAACATCTATCGTCCTTATCTCCCCTTCATCTTTTTTATGTTTGTTACTCTCTTGTAACAGCTCTAATCTTGTGGTGCTCATATGACCTTATGCAGTTGCGAGCGCCGTAAAACCTCTATTAAAATTAAACTAAAAAACAACAAATTTTGTGTGTCTGTTCACCTCCCTCTCTTTCCCTCCCCCCC